ATTTCTAAAGAAATGAATATTGAAAAAAAAACGTCAGGCTGGGCCGGCTGGCTACGCCACTGTAATATGTGAAATTCAGAAAGACCCCGAAATTTTACGCTTGCATTTATTAGAATTGATGCCATCGTTATAATAGAAATGACTTGAAATGTGCATAGCGGGAAAAATTCGTCGGGCTGGCTACGCCATGGCAAAGAAGGTAGTTTTCATCTCGCTTTTGTGCCATTTGCGAGAAGAATTTTCAATGCTTCCGTCAAGTAAACCTATATCATCACGTTGAATACTTTGAAATTATCTAGTTCGGTTTATAAATTTCAAAAATTTGTATGCGCGACGGAGAATATAAATTGCCTGAAACTCGCGTAAAAAACGAACTTGAAGATCTTTGCAAGACGCAAGACCGATATCAAATGGATTTGAAGCCATCTCAATTTAGGTAGACAAAGATTGACTCTCAGACTACAGACATACTTCCAATAGCTATAGCAATATTAGGGCCATTTATACGAGTGAAAATAAGCCGCGGCCTAAATAAGCCGCGGCTTAAATACGTCGCAAAGAACTCGTATAAACGGTCTATTTTCAATTAGCCGCGGCTTATTTAAGCCTAGGCTTCAACCCTGGGCTTATTTTAGCCGCGGCTTGCGAACAAAATGACCGTTTATACGGGCCCTTCACGACTTATTTAAGCCGCGGCTTATTTAGACCGCGGCTTATTTTCACTCGTATAAATGGCCCTATTATTATGTAATCACAAAGTACTTGAACAGTACCTTATAAGAACGAATAGAGACGTTTTTGAGAAGGCAACATCGGCGCCAGAATAAATTGATTCGCGCGCTATTTTAATTGTTTATATAACTATAACTGCATATCGTGTAGACATCACACTTGAAATATTTCTAAAAGTATGCGTTTAAAAAACATCTGAAATATTATGACTGCTTAACCTTGAAGGCTCTTCACTTAATGTCAGGATATATTTGGTATCCATTTTGTTCAAGCCCGTTTTCCACTAGGCAAATTTATTCGCGCGAACAGATAAAGAAGCGGTTCTACTTTTTCGCGGCGAATTTCTTCACAAACCAATCAAATCGCTGGATTTCAGATAACGCTTCGCGTCGCGCGAATAAGCTCGCCTAGTGGAAAACTGATTTAAACTTGTGTTACGCAAGGCTATATTGTGAAACTGAACATTATTGAACTTTAGTAAAACCATTGTAAAGATCTCCTACCTCGTGCATAGAAGAAAATAAAACTATAATTATAACACTTGTTTATGACTTAAGGCCCTGTTACACGGTGCGATTTTTCTTGCAACTTGCAATGCAATTCTTCTTTTGAGAGATGTAAATTTAGCAACTACAGAACTTTTGTATTTATTATTTTCTTACACTAACATTTTGAAGCCTTTTCACCAATTTAGATCTCTTAAAAGTAGAATTGCATTGCAAGTTGCAAGAAAAATTGCACCGTGTAACATGGCTTTTATGTATCGTCGTACATGACTCACTGGTAGAAAATTTCACTAACGCCTGTAAGACCCATCTTTTAAAAAATAAACGAATTCCAAGCCACTTATTGTGGTCGATTTTTCCGAAGCCAATATACCATATTTATCGTATATCTCAATCGGAAACAATGTCTAGACGCAATGTATATCTTGAGAAATATTCGCGCAAATCTATACGCCGGTAGCTTCAAATACAGAAGGTAATCATACTTCTTCAAATCTTTATCATCGCTTTCGGGTTATTTCTTCCTCGGAGAAAACAATCTAGCAAAATCTAGGCAAAGCTAAAAGGGTTTAAAAAAATTCCTGCCGGATCCGACGTTTGTAGCTATATTTGCTCTGCATTAAAAATCACGGATGCATATACAATCATGATAAACATTATAAATTTTTCCTCAATCAAAAAGAGCCATTTTGTTTGCCATTAATTGTCTGTTCCCGATCTGAATAAAGAATTTTTTTACGTTTTAGACAAAGCATACATGTAATATAGGAGGCAATTTGGAAATCACGGATACCATATTTAAAAAGACGGTCATGCATTAATCACAACAACGAAATGAAAGACCACTGTTATTGCATTGTATATACTGAATTGTATTCGCGTTTCGAAGAGGCTTTTCCTTATCAAATTCCATAATGCCTTTTGCAAAATGGCGTACCTAATTAGCTACTTTCCCCATTTACAAATGATAACAGAATTGCGTGTGGAATTGTTGAATGAAGCAGGCATATTGTATATATTATCTTTGAGATTTGGTTTTGTAACAGTTTTGCTTCTTTTTAAGCGAACTAACTCGTATAATTAACATAGTTAAAATTACATGTATGCACTACAATCATTGCAACCTATTGCGACAATTATTGCGACTGATATATAAAAAATTCCTCACAAAAAATGTTGACCAAATATACCTAGACAATTGGCAATATCACTAGAATTATAAACTCAAAAAATACAATACTTCATTGAAACAACAACACTTACATCCTGCACGATAATATCGAAACGAGGTCAGAATTCTACAACATCTTTGGTCGAGAACTTTTTGGAGTAAAGGAACTTGGTTTGTCGACGAGTACGCGTAACAATAATCACAATTTACAAGTCGCAAGCATTGATGTGTTAATATATTCTAAAAGCTTCCGGTATGGTACCAAAACACTCTAATTGATTATACACAATGGACAATGAAGTCTTTGGAGTTTCTTCACGCGCCGTGGAGCAAGGTACGTGTGTGATTATTTAGTTCATTTATCAAAGCTTTCCTGTCCGGAAATGTGGCTACTTCCATGGCAAGTATAGAAAACATATTCTGATAAGCACAATAATACCATGTGCGATTCTTATTCGTCCGTAAATATACTATTCTTTTCGAAAAAGCGAACATATTTCAGGTAGCCGCATTGTAAAGTGTTAGACTATACAGGGTGAGTCAAAAAAAAGTCCCCCCTATTGAAATGAAGCCTTTGTTGATTTGAATGCATGATCAACGCAGTAGTGTGTAAATAGCATAGTTATTAGGTTGAGGCATTCAAATAAAGCGTCTTGCTTTCAATTGGGTTTATCATAATATTAAGGCAATCAGATTCTAACAAAGGCTTGATTTCAATAGAGAGGACTTTTTTCTGACTCACCCTGTAGTTATCTTCAGCATCAGACTGTGAAATCTCACTCGCATGGTCAACCAACCAGTAGGAACAAAGTTTGTGGTCACCATTCAAAACATTTCACTCAGAGATCATTGCTAAAAAAATCACACAATTTTAGAGAAATCCTTCAAAGAGGAACTTCTGGTTTCGAGTGATCTGTGACGTAAAACCGTAATGACAAAAAAAATGAAAAAAATTTTAAATCATCAAATATTTTCGCCCAAACACTCGAAGATCGTTTAAACTAGTTTATATACCTTGCATTAGGTTGTGAACGAAGTTTTGAACAGTATTTAATGGTTGCTAAACACCAAACGACAAGGGTTTCTTCAAAATATAATCGGGATTTAATGAATACAGGAGCCGGTTGTATCACGCCCGTTTAGCTTAAACGGCGGATAAGTCAAAATTAAATAACACTTTTACATCTCTCTTGAATGAGTTAACTTGAATATTATGCACTGAATATGTAGTTGTAAACAGTATCTTTGTATTAAGGTTGAAAACATTTAGTTTGCTTGTTGAATAAAACGATAGACTTGCTTTCTATTTTGAACTTATCCGCCGTTTAAGCTAAACGGGCTTGATACAACCAGGCCCAGAAGTATATAGCTTCCAAGCCTTCCATTCAAGGTGGGTAGGTAAAGTTGCTATATCAAGTGTATTGTGAAATCTGTGGTGCTATACCCAGTTATTATGAGATCAGTGGTGCTATATCAAATTATTATTAGATCAGTGGTGCTATATCCAGTTATTATTGGATCAGTGGTGCTATGTTCAGTTATTATGTGATCAGTGGTGCTATATCAAATTATTATTAGATCAGTGGTGCTATATTCAGTTATTATGAGATCAGTGGTGCTATATCCAGTTATTATTGGATCAGTGGTGCTATGTTCAGTTATTATGTGATCAGTGGTGCTATATCAAATTATTATTAGATCAGTGGTGCTATATTCAGTTATTATGAGATCAGTGGTGCTATATCCAGTTATTATTGGATCAGTGGTGCTATGTTCAGTTATTATGTGATCAGTGGTGCTATATCAAATTATTATTAGATCAGTGGTGCTATATTCAGTTATTATGAGATCAGTGGTGCTATAACTAGTTATTATGAGATCAGCGGTGCAAAACTAGTTATTATGAGATCAGTGGTGCTATATCCAGTTATTTTGAGATCAGTGGTGGTATATCCCGTTATTATAAGATCAGTGGTACTATTTCTAGTTATTATGAGATCAGTGGTGCTATATACAGTTATTATGAAATCAGTGGTGTTATATCCAGTTATTATGAGATCAGTGGTGCTATATACAGTGCAATATGAGATCAGTGGAATGGTTTTTTCCCGCGCGCTGCAGGCTCAACGTTTGTCTGCTCACGGACGGCCTGTTTTGAAATTTACAATGCAGAACACAAATATATACAACTTAAAAAACACTAAACTATGCCCATAAGCAACATTGTAAGCGACACAAGTATAAATATATTTGTTTTGGTGGCGAGACGGTCCAGTATATTACTTGCTTTAAATGCGTGGAAATGAGTGTGCTACAGTTCTAGAGTGCTAGTCAAATAGACTGGCGCTCTAGTTGAACGCGACTCTCGTTTGATCAAGCAATGATAGTAGACGAAACTCTCATGTAAACTCTCGCTTGTCAACTCTCATGCAACTCTTGTTCTCGTTTGATCAAGCAATGATAGTTGATGAAACTCTCATGTAAACTCTCGCTTGTCAACTCTTGTGCAACTCTTGTTCTCGTTTGATCAAGCAATGATAGTTGATGAAACCATGGTTTGGCAAACTGAATCGCGAAGAAATTTAACATACCTAACTCCTATACCAAATAAAGTCCTTGGCTCCAACGTCAGTCCACGATTAACACGAACTTCAACGAAAGTCGTTGCCCGGCTGATTACCGCGCAAACATGCACACTGCGATATTTATGTCATTTGAATTACAAAGTGTTGACCGGTTTGGCATTAAATAGGCGAATTTCAAAGACAGTTTTGATACTTTCCGTCAAGACAAACACCTCACACCACGCATTGTCAATAAGGACAATGTACATTTCATTAAGAGCCTAATGGTGCATGAAATTAATATTATGTTAATCCCCCAAAGCAAACGGCTTTGAAAATGTTGAGTTTTTTGTGTGTCGAGGTGATTTTCCAAAATCTTATGTTTGCATAAGCAGAAATCACCAGATTATGGAAAGATATTTCGTATATTCTTGGGTTTAAAGGGCCTTAATTTCGAGTGGAATAATTTATACACACTTAAAATTCTAGCCAGGAACAGTTGAAGGAGAAATGAGTCAACTATAAGTCCTCCGGGACAAATCGAACCTACGCTATTGCGATGCCGGTGCAATGCTCTTGCCGCTGAGCTACAGAGGTAGCTGACAAGAGCGAGCATAGTTAATGTGTATAGGATGGTAATGCCGGGAATAGGCGAGGGTAAATCGATTATGATTTTTGGCACTTCACTCGATGCAGGTAAATTCTAGAGGTTTAAAGGGCCTTAATTTCGAGTGGAATTAATTATACGCACTTCAAATTCGTATAGTCAATGTTTTTTTAATATACTAGACAGCAAGAATGTGATTAATTGCTTTGTAAAAGGGTTAATTTCTATGCTGAACGCGAAATAATTTTCACGACATCATTTTTAAATATGATTTCATCCCGTCCGTAAACTATATCGTAACTTTTCGGCCAGTTTAGGCCTCTGCATTAAATAAATACTTTAAAAAAAAAAAAACACGCCGCCGACAATTGCTGGGAACAAAATCACCCACAAATTTATGCTTACAAAGAGCGCTATATGAAGGCTCTAACCCGAAAATTTACAGGGTGTATCAAAAAACTACAAGCCTAATAATTTCAAGGCGCCAACGATATTTTGTTGTTGAATAGAAGCGAACATATAAATGAATATTAGGTGTGGTTTTTTAACACCCTTTATATTCTTCCATCGCCTCTGGGTAAGTCTATGCTGACATTCAAATAAGACCTAGTATATTACGAAACAAACTAGTCCTTTATCATATATTATCATAAATTTTCAATGAAAATTTAATCGTTCACGTCAACCCGTCAATTCCACCGACGAATTAGTTGGATAATTGAAATAATAATGAACTGCAATTAGATACTAATTGCTTGCATTAAAGAGATTTCTCACAACGTTTGCCGGTCAACAACGAACAGTCAAGTTCAAAGCGAATATCTTCGTACAATAATCACTTTGTTGTACCGAAATTCTTTGAAATCAACTTCACCATATTAGATGTATGTTATCGAAATGTTCCCGCCTACAATGTGAGGTTTAATCTTGCCGAAACGGTAACATTAAAGGCCTAATTTTTTCTTCAGATTTTCTTTGATTTGCAGTCCATCAAATATCAGATCATATTCGACTAACCTTTTCCTTAATTGCGGTAAACTCGCTCTTGTTTTTTCCTTGATTTTCTTCTCCAATCTGCAAAAGTCATAAAAAATCAGTGTCACGTAAACTCCGTGTTTTTGTTATTTTTATTAATGCTTAACGTAGATAATTCTTACGCTAATACTCTCTTGTGATAAATAAAGATTCTCTCTATTCCCCAAGATGACGATGAGTGAAGTTATATGTTATTATTCGTATATCAAATACTCGAGTAGTTTTTTTTGTGGAATGCTTGGAATGCAGGAAAAAAGTAGTCGAAGAGTCGCTCAACGCGTGTTACAATGCTTCTTTTACAAAGTTTTGCTGCGGGTATAGGACCCTTCTAATGAAAATACACAAACTAGGTTATGTATTAAAACAACTTCTTCGATTTTAAGCTTATTTATTATCCCCGCCTTCGTTTAATATCAGAGAGATATTTACCCTCATATTTGGCGCAAAGCGTGAAAATAACCTTTTTTATCCCTCTGAAACGTCGAAAATGACCCTTTTTATCCCTCTGGAACGTCGAAAATAACCTTTTTTATCCCTCTAGGACGTCGAAAATAATCTTTTTTCCCTCTAAAACGTCGAAAATAGCTTTTTATCCCTCTGGAACGTCGAAAATAACCTTTTTTATCTCTCTAGAACGTCGAAAATAACCTTTTTTATCCCTCTAGAACGTCGAAAATAACCTTTTTTCCCTCTAGAAGGTCGAAAATAACCTTTTTATCCCTCTAGAACGTCGAAAATAACCTTTTTTCCCTCTAGAACGTCGAAAATAACCTTTTTTCCCTCTGGAACGTCGAAAATAACCTTTTTATCCCTCTGGAACGTCGAAAATAATCTCTTTTATCCCTCTGGAACGTCTGAAATGACCTTTTCTATCCCTCAGACTAGACAATTCCTAAATTAGGGGCCGATTACATGGGTCATTTTCCACCCCGGGGCTGAGAACTTCAGAATAACAAATTCGCATTTTGTTTTCAGTCACGTGCGTAAATGGCACAACTACGCATGCTCGAATATCTTCAGCCCTACGTTGAAACGATTACATAACAAATTTTCAGCCCCGGGGCTAGTTTCACCCTAGGGTTGAGATTTCAGCTCGGGTGGCTCAGGCAGGGATGAAATTTCAACCCTGGGGCTGAAAATTTGTCATTTTTTTGAGGCTGTCACCCCCCCTGCCAAAATTTAGCAATATGGCGCGCGCGATATTGCTAAATTTTGGCAGGGGGTGACTGCCTCAAAAAAATGCACTTACTAAGTGACGAATCATGACGAATCACGCTTACGAAAAAAGTACAGGAGTTCTACTTCTGTTAGGTATTCTGTGCCTGAAGGGAGGATATGAATTCAAGACTGTCGCTGATGTTTGCAATGGTGGAAAATTTTAATAAATTCAAATTGAAATGAGTATATTAAAGCATATCACAAATATAGTTTAGTGCGAGCTTGAATTTGTACTTTTTTTTCTTTGTACATTTCATTAAAATTTGAATCTAAACCTTAAAATGGTTGTAATGAGTTTAGGTTGGGCAAATCTTTAAACAACCTTATCAGGGATGATTATGTTGTTTAAAGGAATAATTTTAGCAAAAATTACCCGAATTTTGGTACAATTTGATGAAAAAATTTGCTAAACTCAACTTCTCTAGACTTAAATACCTCTAGAAGGCTAGCTGCCCCCGCTCGTATCACTCCCCCCCCCGTATCACTCCCCCCCCCGTATCACTCCCCCCGTATCACTCCCCCCCCGTATCACTCCCCCCCGTATCACTCCCTCAAGCGTTCCACGCTTATGGGTAATTAGATATTCGACCCCGTTCTTCCCTGTTACACGGTGGATTTTTCTTCACGAGCGTGAAATACAATTCTACTTTTAAGAGATGTAAATTAGTGAAGAGTCTTGAAAATACGAGTATTGGACGCACGGTAATAACGTCGATGCAGTGTAATAAACACAAACGTTTCGTAGTTGCCACATTTACATCTCTCAAAAGTACAGCAAGCTGCACAAAAATTGCATATATGAAACTGCATTAAAGCACGACTCATTTCTTTATCATTAGCATTATAGATTAGATTAGCATTAGATTAGATTAGATTAGATTAAATTTGTCATCTAGTACATTATTACTAGATGACAAATTTTTGTTTACAAAGAGCGCTATATCACGGCTCTAAGCCGAAAATTTACATAATTTCAAGGGGCCTACGATGTTCTGTTGTTGAATAAAAGCGAACATACCGTAAATGATCGATTAAGCACCGCTACTCGAATAAGCGCCGCTGTCGAATAAGCGCCGCACCTCAATAAAAAAAAATTAATAAGCGCCGCTATCGAATAAGCGCCGCGGCGCCTATTTAGGAAGATATAAATAAACGCTAAAAAATGTAGAAATAAACGATTCTTTATTTAAACGCGTTAATCCTAACATTTAAACTATTTAGAACGACGGCCAGTATTGAAACTTTAAAGTTTTATTGTCGAATATCTCTTACAACCGGGCTCTTATGACAGTTCTGATAGGTTAAAACACTTCGGTATGTCGTCGATTCACCCTATATGCTGTGAACAGTTAGCGGAAATCATTAACCCAACTTCGCGCTTTCTTTTTCCTGTAACTTCTACCAAAAGTTTATTCCATTCATCGGCCTTCAGAAACTGATAATCTATTTGCTCACTTTGAAATAAGCGCCGCTGTCGAATAAGCGCCGCGTTTTTAAATCGATATTTGCAATGAGTGCCGCGGCCTTTAATCGATCATTTACGGTATATGAATATAAGTGTCGTTGCAGCTACACCCTATATATTCTTCCATGGCCTCTGGGCAATACTGACAATCAAACGAGACCTGGTAGCTATATTATGAAATAAACTAGTCCTTTATTTGTTACATAAAATCAATGAAAACTTCATTGTTCACTTCAACCCGTCACTTCCACCGACGAATTAGTTGGATAATTGAAGTAATAATGAACCGTAATTAGATGCTAATTGCTCGCATTAAAGTTTGTAAAATGATTCATTTTGTCACAACGTTCGGCGATCGACAACGAACAGTCAGTTGAAAGCGAATATCTCCATTCAATATAATCTCTTTGTTGAACCGAAAATTTTCAATACGATTTCAAGTTTTTCTTGGCAAGTTTTATTTGCTCTTTCGTACGCGAAAAAATTGACAAGTTTTCCTTGACAAGGAGCCTTGTTCAAAAGCTAGTCATGACTTCAAAAGCTTTTCAACAGGCAAAAATGCTCTTGTAACCGCGCAGTAGGGAACAGCGCAGTAGGGAACAGCGCAGTGGGGAACAGCGCAGTAGGGGACAGCGCAGTGGGGAACAGCGCAGTAGGGGACAGCGCAGTAGGGAACAGCGCAGTAGGATACAGCGCAGTAGGATACAGCGCAGTAGGGAACAGCGCAGTAGGGAACAGCGCAGTAGGGAACAGCGCAGTAGGGAACAGCGCAGTTGGGAACAGCGCAGTAGGGGACAGCGCAGTAGGGAACAGCGCAGTAGGGAACAGCGCAGTGGGGAACAGCGCAGTAGGGGACAGCGCAGTAGGGAACAGCGCAGTAGGGAACAGCGCAGTAGGGAACAGCGCAGTAGGGAACAGCGCAGTAGGGAACAGCGCAGTAGGGAACAGCGCAGTTGGGAACAGCGCAGCAGGGAACAGCGCAGCAGGGAACAGCGCAGCAGGGAACAGCGCAGCAGGGAACAGCGCAGTAGGGAACAGCGCAGTAGGGAACAGCGCAGTAGGGAACAGCGCAGTAGGGAACAGCGCAACAATCTT